ACAAGTGAAACCTGTGGGCCATCAGGTGTATGATTTTAGTTGGTTAGGAACAGAGGCATCTGCAGCCTATTCTCTCAACAACATGGACACACTGAAGCCATCTGGAGCGTTGGCTCCATAACCACACCTATCCATACTGATAGTTGCCAGCTACCATTAAAGCAATTCACTTGCAGCAATATAGGGAGTAATTTTAGATAGCTGATATCAATAACATTGCTATAAATAGTTGGTAAATAATGATTTCAGTATTTGTCACATCCTGTAAACAACAAATATATGATTTGAAAGGAAGGGTTTTTAGCCTGACAGATAGTTCCTCACGCATATAATCCAAGAGTTGAGGAATCAGCTTTTGGTTTTTGCTTTCCTTTTCTCTAACTTGATTGATTCTAAGCATCCAACCCAGAATTGGCAAGTTTGCCCGATGGGGAGAGGCCATCAGCGCTGCTGGCTAAGCTGCAGCTGCACTACCTGCCATGAATAATAGCCCAGTGTGCTAGTTAATCATTACATTGTGACTTTTCCTGTTCCCTCCTAGCTCAGGGTGCATAGGCAACTGTGGTCCAGCTTCCAACACAAAGTTCAGCATTGTGTGGGTATGCTTGTTTTTATTGACATGAATACATTTACTCAGCATTTTCCAACATATAGTCTGATAAAGCTAACAGAGTAGGGCAAGTCTTCCCTTCTCTTTCTCGCTCTCTCATTTTTAAATCACTGTTGTTTACCTCTACCCATTTGCCTCTTTTTGCCTCTTGCAAAACTGTTTGGTTTCTTCAGCCAGAATTCTGGCACAGTGGGTGGCTCATCTCTTTGTACCAGAAGAGTGGAATTGTGACATGCCAAATGTTGCCTGTCTGTGGATCCATTTGAGGATGAGTTGTCCCCTGAGCTGTGTTGGTTTGCCATGACTGACATCTGGCATTTGGGGGAGGTGGATACAACTCCTGTCCCCATCTACTGGAATTCAAACCTCTGCAGTTCAGGTGAACTGTTCAGAGTGACTTAAGATGCCAATGAAATCTTTGGAATGAGGCAGTGAACCACAACAGTCTTTGCTCACATGCCTATGGTTAAATTGATTGCCAGGCTGGAAGGCAGGAAGTTGTTTACCCTCACAACACTTTATAGTTTTCATCTTTGTGACCATGGGTCCCCTCTCTTATGCTAGGGACAGACATTAAAAAAGTCTGAGCCTGAATTGATTCAACCTTTGCAGGTTAGTCTAACCTGGCTAGGCTGAACCAGTTTCCAACCATACAGACAATCCCTCTGGACTGAGGAAATTCAAGCACATGCCTGCAGTGGCTCAGGCTGGAAGCCGGAGGGTGCTAGAGCAGCCCTCCCTTCCCTTGCAGAGCTGAGCTGAGGGGAGTGTGGCCAGGTCCCAGCACAAGGCTTTGATTAGGGAGGGGTGTAAACCCCCAGCCTGCTGGCAGTCTCAGGCTTTTCCAGCTCACTGCTCAAGGGGCAGGAGTGTTGCCAGCCCCCAGCTAGCACTGAGGCAGAGGTTGTATATGCAGTGCATGCATCTGTTGATGATACGGAGCTTTTCAATCTCCCTCCCTGCTTCTGTATACCGTCTGCAGCAAACTGACAGGCAAGCGGGGTGGGGCGGGGGGGGCTGATAACAGTCACTCCTATCTTGGTGTTTTTCGCCTCATTAAGAAAACAGAAGGACATTACCAGCTACCTGTTGATTCTGCTTGTTGATTCAGCATGGACCCAGCATGTGGTCTGATAGCTAATACACAGATACCTTCTCTGCAAGGCAGAGGGGAAGGGGGAATTCCTTAGGGAGTGGTGAGTGGGAAGAGGGGGAGAGCAAACAGCTCTTAAACAGCTTTTCCAAGGAAGGACATTCAGCTACCTGTTGAATTGCTCCAAAAAGCCTGTCTGCCTTTGTCTTCTCTCACAGCCCAGACTGTAGCCAGGATGTGGTCTGCTAGCTAATGCTGAGGTGTCTGTGAGGGAGGGGGAATGCCTGCTTAGCACAGCATGGGGAGAGGAGGGGAAGGGGGTAACAGAAGCCAGGCAGACACCTGCAGAAACTTTGGAGCTGCAGCCAGGGAGCAGAGGGGAGGGGCCAGCCCTGCTGTGGAGCAGAGAACCCCACCTAGCCAGAGAGCATGCTGGGATGCTGAGGGACTCTGATTTATCTTAAACCAGGAAGGGGTCTGGGATAGACATTGCATAAACTGGTTTGACCCAAATCAGTTAAGTCTGATACTACATTCAACCAGGTTTATCTCACACCGGTTTCATCCATTTTCAAACTGTTTATGTGCACTGAACATCTGTTCTGTTACAGGTTTAAACCAGTTTCTAAACACTTAAACCAGTTTATTTGTAATGTCTGTCCCTAGCCTTACTATCAGATGGAGGGGGAGTCCAAATGATACCTGGCTTTTGTTTGTGAAGTGGACTGGCTTGAGAGCCAGTCTTTTCTTTCTGGATTTATATTTGCCTTCAATTTGTTGTTAAGATGCCTATATTTAAGTGTAAGAATGGATTATAATACTGCCCCTTTAGCAGCTGTGTGCATGGGGCAATCTAGCTTTCACCAGTGGACCATTTGCTTAGCTCAGATGAGTGTTCTACTGCCCCACCAGCGGACAGCTTTTTTTGGTGGGCCAACCGTTGAACCACCAGGCATTGGCATGCTAGAGTTGTAGGAGTCAATATATGAACTGGGAGAGAAGGGATGAGCAGTTGTGAAAGGGTGAAGCAAATCTTCTTTCAGGAGTTGTGAAATCTTGCCTTTCTATGTGTTGCTGCATCCCATAAAATTCCGTTCAACAGCCATTTCCTTTATTGGATTTCTCTTTCTCTCTCTTTTTAGACAGTTTATTTTCTTCTTGGAGTTGATTCAAGTACCTCCGTAATCATGATGTAGTGCTGGCCAGTGTGCCTTCCAGGTGCCCAGCTAATTTGTAAGATTTCCAGTCAAGCCACAGCTAAGTTATATAGTCATCACAGTACTACTACCAACAATACAGTCAATTAAAAAAAATAAGG